TCAAAAAAATAAAATTTCAAATATGCCACCTTAACGAAAATTTGGAAGGAAAAAAAACCTATTTGGCAATGGTTTAATGAAGGTGATGAAATTAATAGTTCTCATTATTTTGCAATATGTAATTTTTGTAGACAAAAATTTCCCGGTGAACCTTCAAAAATGGTTAAACATTTAATAGAAAAATGTATAGAAATTCATCAAAATGAGCGTAATAATATAAAGATATTTTAGAAAATATTTCTCAAAATTCACAAATTCAAGCAAATAATGATAATTATAAGAATACAAATAATAAAATAGAATCTAAATTAAATTCTGATTTACATTTACCCTCTAAAGAAAAAACATTTATTCATCATCAATTACTTAAAGCTTTAATATTAACCAATGTTCCATTATCATTTGTAGAAAATTCTGAAGTAATTAAAATATTTAATATATTAAATCCTAAATATAAGCTTTCATCTCGAAAATGGCTAAGTACAGATATTTTAGATTATGTTTAAGTAGCTTACTAGTGATAGATAAAAAAGAGGCTGTAAAGATAAAAAGGTTTAGAAGAGTACCTATTCTTATATCTTTAGCTTACTTTAATTGTAATATATTTTAGGCAAATGATAAAAATGCAAGTTCAGTACTTCATGACTCATCTGACATGCAAGAAATAATTTAAAAGTAGCAACTATGCTTAAAAGAGATCTAGAAGCATAGATATAAAAAAGAGTATAGATTTGGTGACATTCAAAGATAGGATTATATTAAGAAAAAAAAATAAGAAATTACACTTTTGGATACTACTAGTAATATATGAGAAAGAGGCTGAAAAAAAGCAGAAGACTCAGGAAAATATAAGAAAAAAAGGTATAAAAGGTGAAATTACAAAAATAACATAATATTAGCACTTTGTGTATCTTATCCAGCAATCAAAAGATAACAAATAGATTGTGATACATCTTTAACAAATGAAAGAATTACAAATTCAGCACTTCATGTCTTATCTAGCAATCAAAAAAAAAATTATATAAATTTAGCATTTTATGCCATAATCTAGCAATCATATGTGAATATAAAGGTAAGATTGCAAGTAACTTTAGCATAATTCCTGATGGGATAAATACATAGGCTGATCTTAATATTTCTAATTCTCTAACCATCTTATCCTCTAGTCAAAATCTCAAGAAAGTAATGGAGAAGTACTAGGTATCAAGTTAGATTTACAAACTATATGTCATAAATTCAGCCAGAAATATGTCATAGAGCCAGCCAAAATTAACCAAAATTTCATTGCAAAATATACTGTATTATATATACAACACAATTTTTTTAGCGGTCTACAAAGATATAATATACTGTATTCTAGTTAACTAAAATGTAATCAATAGACTATAATATCCTATTACATAATTACATATTAGTCTATATAGGTACATTATATTATAATGTCCTCTGAACTAAGTGGACATATTAATATATAAATATATTAATATGTCCACTCAAGTCTTTTTAAAGAAAAAGAACGAATGCAAATATAAAAGATCGACATTTGATTTTATCACCCGTGATATAATGAATGTCAGACACAAGTCACGTGATAACATGTGAATAACGTTTTTGTAGTTGTAATCACATTTCTTAATAGCCAACAAGTTATCCGAAAAAAAAATTTTCGAGAAATCGAAATGATATTCATTCTAAAAGTTTCATCCCAATAATTGTTGGGATACGGACTTGGAGATTATTATTTTGTAGATCGCGACGACTGTTCATTCATATAGTTTAATAATAACCAAATAGTAAATTCAAAAATGCAGATGTTAACAAAGGTGAATATTCAAGTGCAGCTTAGAAATCCTTTCTTTATGGCTTGGTCTCAAGCTTCATAGATTAAGCCATGCTGAAACTTTACATTTTATTAGTTCGAGTCAAAAAGTAATCGTGTCAAAGGAATTGCATTTCATCCTAAACGTCCCTGGATTCTTGCTTCCCTTCACAACGGTTGTATACAATTATGGGATTATCGTATGGGAACTCTTCTGGAACGATTCGATGAACATGATGGTACGTTAGTACGCTCGATTAGAGAAATCATCATGCCATTTTGAATCAAACTAACTAATTCATTTCATCATTTAGGTCCTGTTCGCGGAATCGCATTCCATCCAACACAACCATTATTTGTATCAGGTGGTGATGATTATAAGATTAAAGTGTGGAACTATAAAACTCGTAAATGCTTATTTACTTTGAATGGGCATTTGGATTATGTTCGAACTGTTTTCTTTCATCACGAATACCCTTGGATACTTAGTGCTTCTGATGATCAAACTATTCGAATTTGGAATTGGCAGTCAAGAAATTGCATTGCGATTCTGACAGGTCATAATCATTACGTTATGTGTGCACAATTTCATCCAAAAGAAGATTTAGTTGTATCTGCTTCTTTAGATCAAACTGTAAGAGTTTGGGATATTTCAGGTATTTATTCCTTTTTATCGGTGGTATTTATCGAATGTCCTAAACTATATTATTAGGACATTAATGGAATTATAATTATATTTTCAGGCCTCAGAAAAAAGAATGCAGCACCTAGTTCAATGTCATTTGAATATAGTATGCATAGATCAGCTGCGACCCAAGCCGATATTTTTGGTAGCACGGACGCGATTGTTAAATATGTTTTAGAAGGTCATGATCGTGGCGTCAATTGGGCGACTTTCCATCCTACCCTTCCTTTAATTGTATCGGCCGGAGATGACCGTCAAATAAAATTATGGCGAATGAATGGTATTATTGGGTTTTGTTATGTTTATAATATTACCTTTTACAAGATTATTAACGTTACATTTTTATTTAGATACTAAGGCTTGGGAAGTTGATACTTGTCGTGGTCATTTTAATAATGTATCCGCTGCTCTCTTTCATCCCAGACAGGAGTTAATCATTTCTGACGCTGAGGATAAAACAATTCGTGTTTGGGACGTGTCAAAAAGAACTCTTGTCCAAACTTTTAGGCGTGAACATGATAGATTCTGGGTTTTGACGGCTCATCCTGAATTAAATCTTTTCGCGGCAGGTGAGTCTTATTTGTTTATATGTGTAACAATTTTAGTATTAAAACTCAGATTTTGACTATATATCTTTTTTTTTTCAAGGTCATGACAATGGTCTTATTGTATTTAAACTTGAAAGGGAGCGTCCGGCATATGCGGTACATCAAAATAATTTGTTCTATATCAAGGACAAATATTTGCGTGTTTTTGATTTCGCTAATGGATCAGACGTATCAGTACTTTCAGTACGAAAAATTGGTGGTCAATATGTTCATCCACGGGCTTTATCGTATAATCCTGCCGAGCGTGCTGTTATAATCACAACGGTCAGTTACGTGATTGGCTAGTTTGTATTACTGTATTAAATCCGAAAGATTGACGAAATAGGCTACTTCATATTTCAGCCTACGGATGGTGGTACTTTCGATTTGTTTCATTTACCCAAAGATTTTAGTGGCGAACCACGAGAGGCCTCGACGGATGGTAAACGCGGTACTGGTAATTCAGCAATATTCATCGCCAGAAATCGATTCGCAGTACTTGATAAGACGCGTCAGGTAATTATTTTTTTATTAAAAATATATATAAAGATGATTGATTACTTTTTATCACGACAGACAACAACCGATATTTAAATTAATACCCACCAAACCCAAATATCATCATGAATTAATTGTCGCCCTTTAACGATAAAATCAAAAATATTTTAATATCTTATGCAGGCGTTGATTATACTTGATTTATCGAGTCAACTTATGTGATAATTTTTTCATTATTCTAGCAAATTGAAATCCGTGACTTGTCTAATGTTACGACAAAATCGGTTAAACCTCCAGCAACTGTTAATGAGATATTTAGTGCTGGTAGTAGTAATCTTTTACTTCTTAGCACATCTACTTCAGTTATTCTGTATGACATTCAACAACGTCAAACCGTTGCTGAAATCAATACACCTCCCGTCAAATATGTTGTATGGTCTTCCGATTATAGTCAAGTGGCTCTCCTAAGCAAACATAGTACGTTTTTAAAATTATATAATACATTATTTTTATTGGTAATTATTCACATCATATTTTTCATAGCGATAACAATCGCTAATAAGACTTTAGAGCAAAGTTGTTTGATTCATGAAACAATTAGAATCAAAAGTGGTGCATGGGAAGATGCTGGTATATTCGTATATTCTACTCTTAATCATATCAAATATGCTCTTCCACAAGGGTAAGAATAATGAGGTATTTTTTTTTGTAAATTTTTAAACGAAATATTCACGTTAATTTTCAATATAGTGATAATGGTATTATTCGTACTCTTGATCAGCCGGTGTATTTAACCAAGGTTAAAGGCAAGAACGTTCATTGCCTTGACAGAGATGGTAAGACACGTGTAATTAGCATAGATCCAACGGAATATCGATTCAAACTTGCACTCATAAAGCGCAATTATGACGAGGTACTGCAAATTATCCGCAACTCGAACTTGGTTGGACAGGCTATTATTGCATATTTACAAAAAAAGGGATACCCAGAGGTATTTACTTATTTCACTTATTTTTATATTTTTTTTAAAAATTTTGTACTCATTGCGAAAAAAATATTTTTTCGGGTTAGATCGCCTTGCATTTTGTGAGAGATAATAAAACTCGATTTGATCTTGCATTGGAATGCGGCAATATCGAAGTTGCATTGGAAACCGCAAAAGCGATGGATCGAGATGATTGTTGGAATAAATTAGGCGTTGAAGCATTACGTCAAGGAAATCATATGGTTTGTATTTTCGTTATCGTTATGATTATAATTTGCGTGCAATTAATATGTACATAAGATTTATATATTATATTTTAGGTCGTTGAAATGGCATATCAAAGGATTAAAAATTTTGATCGCCTTTCATTTTTATACTTGGTAACCGGTAATGGCGAAAAATTGAGAAAGATGTTAAAGATTGCCGAGCTAAGAAATGATAATATGTCTAGATTCCATAATTCACTATACTTGGGTGATGTTGAAGAGCGTGTTCGACTTTTAAAAGAAGTCGGTCAATGTATTTTGTCATTACATTCATTCTACCTTTATCATTTTAATTATCATTCAATAATTAATTTATTATTCACATCCTTAGTACCTTTGGCGTATCTTACCGCTCATAATCATGGTCTGACGGAAGAAGCTGAATCAATTT